ATCAGTGTTCATTTCTTTAGTGTGATAATTTTATTGTGATTATGTAAGAGAATATCTTTCACCTTGGAAGACACATGCTGAGGTGTTTAGGGGTGAAGTGTCATTAGGTATGAAACATAATCATTGAATGGGTCAGTGAAATAAAAAACAAATTAATCAATATGGTATATACAGATATAAATATGATAAATAAGCACATAAAACATAAATATATAGTATATATAAAGATGTTAACATATCGATATATAAATGTTAATCTAAATAAATAAATGCATATATTCAACAACACATTAATGTAAAAGTATATAAATAAATAGATGTAAAGCAAATGTGGTAAAATGTTGAATTAATTGCAATGTTGTCATAAGTTTGGAATCGCTTTACATAAAAAGCTAGGAAACCATTCTGTCATAAATATCAAATATATGCAATAAAATTTATTTTTTAAAAAGCTGGTCGAGGGGATGAGAAGAGGATGGGCAAAAATCTACCTAACGGGTACAATGAACACTACCTGGGTGACGGGCACACTTTTAACCTTGACTCATGCATTACAAAAGGAATCCATGTAACCAAAAACATTTGTACCCCCGTAATACTTTGAAATTAAAAAAAGCCAGGGAACCATTTATTTTTTAAACAAACATGCAAATAAATAAAATATAAAATGCTTTGAAAAAGAGTAATCTGGAGGAAGGCTAGGAGTCATCAGAGATAAGAAGTTAGGAAGTGTGTGTGGAGCTCATGAAAGCCAAAAGAGGATAAACTTCTTAATTTCTATTTCTTTATTTGTTTATTTCCTCCAATAGAATGTAAGCTTCATTAGCACACTGTCTCAGTAGAATTGTATAGAACAGATGTGGTACACAGAGATTTAACAGTGATAAGTATTTTATGGTTTGAGGAAGTACATAGACTCTTCAGACAGATCACCTAACATGGCTTCTCCTATATTTCACCTAAAAGAAAATCACTAGGGTGGTATATTTAAAGAATGCAATTCTCTATCCAGAATATGGTTCAGCAAATCCCAGCCTTATCACATCTCAAACCTTCTAAGCATGAGGACACACATTGCATTTAAACACTTGTGTGCATCCTTCAAGAAGATGGTCATTTTTTAAAATGAAGTCAGCTCATGCAGTTCAAAAAAAAAAAAAAAAAAGTACCCCTGAGTTCAGTCTTTTCTTTCAGAGGACAAACTTAACAACATAGCCTATCTATTTTATATTGGCAAGTTATCTCTTGGCTCAGTGCAGCCACTGGAATATAGCACTTCTCTCATGGATTCAGTTCTGCCATGATCTTCTTGGCTCCACAAATCTTCAGGACCACAGTCTGATGTGTACTTTAATGTGGATGCTTTAACAGGCATGCTACTTCTTTGACAGCCTCAACAGCCTAAATAATTAATTCTTCAGAGCACCCAAGGCTCTGACTCTCACCACTAAAATATGAAAATTAATTTCATATGCTTTACTTACTTTCAGAAAAAGGGAAAATCCTGAAGAAACAACAGAGGTACTAAGGCTCAGTTGTTTTCAGAATGCATAAACTTTGCAAAAGCATGCAATTCAGAGCCCCAACAATCCATTAGCTCTATTCTGATCTCATGCCGAGAAAGAAAATCTGACAGAGATTGCCCTAATTCACTGAGGTGTAGTAAAGTCAGGAAAACAACCCCAAACATTTCCTCTTCCTTCATAAAAGAACTAAAACCTGGATTTTCTACAAGGTTTGACTTCTTTGGAGGAGGATGTGCCTCTGCCCACTGCTCCAGGTTCTCGAACTTCATCAAATGTGCTTCAACCACCCCCTCTCCTTCCTCAGAAATGCTCACCTCCTCAGAGCCCTCATCCACCTTCCTCAACATCTTTCCCATCCTGGTCTGTCACCATCATCACTATAAAGAGCTCAACACCCTGGCCTCATTAACACAGCATGAACTACACTCCTTGCCTTTCAATAATCTCCATGTACAATCTTCAGCAGCTCACTGGGAGGCTACATTGTACATATAGGAATTGCCTGAAAGCATTTTACCTCCAGGATGTCCAACTTTGGAATTTTCCTGACCATAATCTCCTAATTTTTCGCCATAAAACTCACTCACACCCTTGACTTTTCCTTTCTGTCCTATCAATTTTGGTTAGGCACTTTGCCTCTCTTTATTCTACTCTCATGGAAGATCTCAAGTATGAAATGAATTCCTGAACACACTATTGTACCAGGCAATAATAGAGTTCAGGACTCACAGGTGTCTTCTTTTCTGTGAGGTATGATTGAGAGGGTCAAGTTGAACCAGTTTTGGAAGGATAGAGCATGGGGCTGACTCAGGTGAGGCCTTAAAAGAGAGAAGGAGAAATGAGGGGGATGGACTGAGTGTCTGTGTTCTTCATAAAACCCTCTATTGTCTAGCCTAGCACAGCAGGAAAAACCAGCAAGCAGCTGGCTAGCAATCCCTGTCACAGTCATTCATTACCACTGTGTAGAATGCCTCACTTATTTTAACCTTTTATCATTGATGCCTCGTCAACTCCAGCTTTCTAAGAACACAATCCTAGGCAGAGAACATTGCTGAAAAATGATACCAGATCACATTGACCATTTCTTCTACAATTCATCTAACTTTTACCTAAGCCCTCCTTGTTACTTGGTAATGCTCTAAAAGTGTCTGCACTTTCCTTAATCCTCACTCATTTTTGAGATTCTCTGGTCTTTCAGTTCATTGAAAAGACAGAGGTTCTCCAACTTCCCTTTTCTTGGCTGAAAATGCTTTCTGCTTGATGCATTGACAGTGATCCAATGCTGCGGTCCCCAAACCCTGGGTCGTGGGGCAGTACCAGCCCATGGTCTGTTAGGGACCGGGTAGGCCACAGAGCTCCACTGCAGCCCCCCTTGCTTCTGCCCTCCCCCCAACCCCGGGTCTACAGAAAAATTGTCTTCCATGAAACTTGGGGGAGTGGTGTGCCCAGTGGGAGGTGAGCGGCAGGCAAGCAAGCAAAGCTTCATCTGTATTTACAGCCACTCCCCATTGCTCTGGCCATGGAAAAATTGTCTTCCATGAAACTGGTACCTAGTGCCAAAAAGGTTGGGGACCACTGATCCAATGGACTGATTTATTTTCATTTCCACTGAGTTCTCTTTAGCATTTGGCCTTTTGAGCATATTTTTGAACCTATCCCTGCTTCCCCGTCCTTCACTACTCTATCACCTAAATGGAGGTCTTCCTCAAGGCACTGACTGGATCTAAGCACCTATGTTGCAGATTTCTCATCTCAGACCCTTCAGCAATCAGTTCTATGGAGCTCACTGTCAAATCTTCCCAGCCTGCCATCTTATGTCAGGTATAGAGCTGTATTCTAACTTCTTTCTGGACATGACTTAGAAGACCTGCTGGTTCTTCAAAAATATTATATCCACAATCAGAAGTTTCACTCTCTTCTTCCAACAAAATCCTCTCCCCTCATTTCCTCTCCTCACATTTTATAGTCAGTCTCCAGGCCAGGGAAGCTCTATTTTCAGGTAATAGACTTACAGATATCTCCCCCCACATATCTTAAACACAGGCCCTCAGAACTCACATATCTTGGGCTTTGAAATTGCCTCTTAACTGATCTTTCCACCTATAAAAAAGTCTTACTTTGGACCAGATACAGCTACTAAACTATATCTTTTTAGATCTTTCTTATCTGGAATATGATTTTTCAGTGGCTCCCTGACACCAAAATGAGTCAAACACTTCTGACCAATATTCAAGTCACCATAATGTGACTCCAACTTTCCTCTGCAGCCTTATTTTCCCCTATTTCCTGCTTGGACCCTATCTTCCTACTAAACCGGACTATTGGCTGTTTCCCACCCTTGGCCTGAGCTCCTCATCCTAATACATTCACTTACACCATTCCCTCTTCCAGTTATGCCTGGTCTCCACTCCATCTTTGGGAACGCTTCGTAAATATCAATTGGTCATAAAGCTATCCCTGGTCTCCAAAATCAATGGCACTTTAATGCCACTCTGCTTTGTTCTGAATCACTAAAAGGCTGGCTCTTGGAGGGCCAGGACTATGTCACTCATCATTGTGTCCCCTGAGGCATTTATGACAATATGTTGTCCAGAACTGGTATTTAGGTAATTTAGCTGATGATTTGAACCTGAGCAAACATTTTACCAATCCCAGATCTTTTGTTTTTGCTTGTTTAAATTTAACAAAGTTTAATTTAGCAAAGAGCAATTAATTCACTAATTGGGTAGCCCCCAAAGCAGAATAGGTTCAGAGAGACTCTTCTCTGCCAAGTGGTTGAAGATTTATAGAAAGAAAAAGGAAAGTGAGGTACAGAAAACAGAAGTGAGGTACAGAAACAGTGGATTGGTTACAGCTCAGCGTTTGCCTTATTTGAACACAGTTTGAATAGCTACCCACCTTTGAACTCAGTGACTGGCACAAGAGTAGGTTACAGTCTGTTTACTCGTTCAATTAGGTTACATTCATTATATACAAAGAAACCTTTAGGCCAAACTTAAAATATGTAAGGAGGCAGCTTTAGGGCAAATTTAATTTAACAAATGCAATAGGAAATAGTCAGAATTGCAATAAACTGGAGAGTACAAGGTATAAATTTCACTATACCATATTACACTATACCATACCATAACATACTGTGCTATACTATACTGAAGCTGAACTCCAATTGATTGGGTTTTTTTTTTTTTTTGGCAAGAAAATGAGGTCAACTCTCACAATTTTCTAAAAGAAACAAGAAATCCAAGAACATGGATAAAATGCTTCAATTTTTAGATGTTGGCAATTAACTTAAAAATAAAATTAAAGCATGGTATGGGCTCATATTAGACAAGCAAAATATGAGCTTAGGCTTTATTGTAGATTGCAGGATGCCAGTTTGAAACTTTGGGGAAACAGCCTGCTATATACTTTAAAGTTAGGCCCATCATCCCAGATCTTGAGATAACAAAATCTAGGAGTAGATAAGACGCTTACCCATGGATTCTGAAGTTTGACTGCCAACCACTCGGAGCAGCATGGGCTGACTGCTGTCTGACCTCTGTAGAGAGGTAGAAGGAGAGGACACCGTTGTACCATTCACCTTGGCTTCTGCCTGGGGCTAAGGCATCCAAAAGAAAGCAGAATTATTTTTCATAATAAACACTCAAATATATAAATATAAAAAAATTTATATAAATATAGAAATATTATAAATATTCTGGACTCAGAAATTTTGACCCTATCTACCTAGAAAGCACCCACAGATTGTTGAATTTGGGATATTACACAGTTGAAATGATCTATGGATGTTGTCTTTCTATCTGAATTGTGTTCCCTTATAAATGTGAGAAAAACTTAGAGCCACAGTGGAACGAAACTGTAAATCATTAGACTAAATAGCTGAAAGATTTAGAAGGGCATGTGAGAATGGTGAAACCATGTGAGATCTCAGAAATGTAATGGAAAATCCATATTTTTGTGAAGTATTAAGTAACAAGATAGAGAGAACATATCTCAAAGTTTGAAATTCCCAGAAAGCCATAACCGTGTCCATGTAGGGCCTATTACAATGTAATATCTTGCTAGGTGTTCAATGGTGGCTTAAAAATTATGTGTTCGAGATTAGAAGAAAAAAAAAAATCAAAGGTATACCAGAAAATATAACTGAAGAGAGTTACATTTCAAGAGGTAAATTTTTCACTTTAGAAAACTAGTGGAAATATTTTGTTATTTTTTCCCCCAAATGTATTTCAAATCGGTCAAACAAAAAACATCTTGGTAGGAAACAATCTTGAACAAATATAAAAAGACACACAAGTTTTACTCCTCTTTTTCTATCCTGTGATACCTAGCACTTTGCCAGGCACATACCAAGCATTTAATAACCAATGCTTGTGGCCGGGCGCGGTGGCTCATGCCTGTAATCCTAGCACTCTGGGAGGCCGAGGCAGGTGGATCGCTGAAGGTCAGGAGTTTGAAACTAGCCTGAGCAAGTGCGAGACCCCGTCTCTACTATAAATAGAAAGAAATTAATTGGCCAACTAATATATATAGAAAAAAAATTAGCCGGGCATGGCGGCGCATGCCTGTAGTCCCAGCTACTCGGGAGGCTGAGGCAGGAGGATTGCTTGAGCCCAGGAGTTTGAGGTTGCTGTGAGCTACGCTGATGCCACCGCACTCACTCTAGCCTGTGCAACAAAGCGAAACTCTGTCTCAAAAAAAGAAAAAAAAAACAAAAAAAAAAACCCCCAATGCTTGTTACACTTATTAAAAAAGGACTCTGAGTTCTGTTTTTCCATTTTGTTTAACAGGGAGAAATGCATGTTTGCAAATATCCCATCTCTCCTCACTTGCTCCAGCAGCTGTCTTAGCCTATGTAACTGTGACTCCAGCTGTTTATTGTGGTCTTCCAGGATTTGCATCCTGGCTTCCAGGCGGCCTTTGTGTTGACGCAGTAGCTTGGCCTCTGCAATGAGCTCAGCATCCCGTGGACTCTGGGGAGAGGTGGGCATCATTTCAGGAGGGGACGGCAGTGGGGACAGGCCTTTATGTTCATGCTGCTGCTTTAGACGATCATATTCTGCTTGCAGATTCCTGTTGACATCAAAGAAGTAAAAAAAAAAAGAAAAAGAAAAAGAAAAAAAATTGAATATCACTATCAAATTTCATATAACATGGCAGATAGATGCATCTGACCACCACCAAACAACAGCAAGCAAAAGAGAGGCACTAATGAATGGTTTTAATGATGACAATCTTACCAGTGCTAAAAGAACAAGACGAAATTTGAAGCTTTTGCCTGGTGTGTGAGGAGAGCCATGCTTTTCAACTTTTTATATTATACTAAAAGCCTCATGAGTGCTATATTCACATCAGTAAGCAGCAAAGGATTTCATCATTTTGTAAGCATTTCTTTATAATGTCTTATTTTTATACTCCTAGTCACACTTTGGTTTGCTTAAAAAATTAGCAAATGATTTTCAACAGAAATGTATAAGAATATAGTATATATACCCATGTGCCCACCACCCTGCTTCAATAAGTTTACCATTTGCCATATTTTCTTCAAAACTTTTTTGAAGAAATAAAATATGACAAAGCTAAAGTTCCCCCGTGTGCCCTCCTCAACACCACACCATTCCCTTCTCACCATCACCCCAAGGAAATAATGCCATGCTGAATTCCATCATTACTACGAATGTATCCACAAATATTAAATTAGACTAATAAAGAAGCTTATAGTCGCCTGTTTTTTACCTACAAAAATGGCCATTTTACACAATGCAATCAAATAGCATTATGTTGCATGTTCTTAAACTTCACATTTAAGAACGTTATGTTTAAGAATGTACATACCGTTCTTAGAGTTGCTTTTTGCCTTCAACACCATTTTGGAGATTTATCCATGTCAATACACAATAGTTGCTATTTTAACTGCTGTAAGGTTTTATTCTGTTGCTTGAATATGCCAACAACATTCTCCTGTCCATGGACGTTAAAGCTGTTTCCGACTTTTCACTATTACAAATAATGATGCAATGAACTTCCTTATACCTGTCTCCTTGGATACCTGTTTAAGAGACTCTTTACGGAATATATTTTGGTGTGGAATTGTTGGGTCTTAGCAACATCTTGAATATTGCTACATGTCACCAACTTGCTATAAGTGGTTTTACCAATTTATTCTCTCTCCAGTAGTGAATGAGGTTTTTCATTTGGCCACCTCCTGATCAAATACTTGGTGTTAGCAGACATTTAAGTTTTGGCCAATCTGATGGTACATTTTAGTTTGTACATCCTTGATTACTGGTAAGGTTGAACTTCTTTCATGTTAAGTGGCTTTTCATGTTTCCTTTACTCATTTTCCTGTTGTATTTTCATTTTCTTATTAAAGTTCTGGACATATTCTAGATACATATCCATTGTCAGTTATGTGCATGGCAAATACTATCTCCTGCCCTTTAATCTTAGTGTAGCTTATCTTTAACTTTGCTTATGGCATCCTGTGGCACAAAAAATTTTAAATTTTAACATATTCCTCCATGTTTCCTGTTTTTTATATTTTGTTTAAGAAACTCTTCCCTTACATCTACATTTTAAAGTTTGAAATTTTGTTTTTCACATTTAGGACTTTACCCAGAATCTATTTTTGTGCTTGCTGTGAACATATGATCTAATTTTACTTTCCCCCCATAGACAAACTCTTAAGCCAGCCCCATGCATTGTATAGTTCTTCTATTCCCCACTGATTCCTAACGATGCTTCTGCAAAACATCAAGTGTCCATAAATACACAGGTGTGAGTCTGAGCTCTCTATTCTATTCTGTTGGTCTATTTGTATATCTCTCCATGCAGCTCACAGCTCCCACATTATAGCTTTAAATCTGTTGGTGTCTGGTAGGCCCTCCCAGCCTCACTTCATTCTTCCTGAAAATTGGCTTGGCTATTCTGACCCCTTTGATGTTCTCTATGACTTTAGTATCATATTTTCATATTTCATGAAAATGTTTGTTGAAATTTTGGGTTTGAATTATATTGAATTTATAGATTAACTGGGAAGGATTAAGTTCATAATAGTGTCTTCACGTCCAGGAACGTGGTGAAGCTCCTCACTGATTCTGGTCTTATTTCATGTCCATAAATTATATTTTGTATTTTACTCTGTTTTATTTCCTCTTGCTTTACAGGTTGAATGCTTAAATCATTTTTTAAGAATTTTTGCTGCTTTTTAATATATATATGGTTATAAATTTCCTTCTTGGTACCACTTTAATTGTATGCCAAAATTTTTGATATATATCACTTGATTTATTCAGTTGCTTACATTTTATAATTCCTATTGTGATTTTTTAAAATTTAACCCATCATCATTTAGGAGTGTTTTTATATTTCCAAAGATTTTTTCCTTATATTTTTACAGCATACTTCTAATTTAATTGCATTTTAATCAGAGAACACCTATATGATACTGATCCTTTCAAATTTAGCAAGACTTCTTTTTGTGACCTAGTTCATAGTTACTTGCTAAAAATGTTCATTGAGTATTTGAAAAAAAGTATCTTTTCCCATTTGAAAGATGGAGACAAAATATAGAGAGTGTGCTAATTTTGTTGTTCAAATTGTTTGTCTTTACTAATTTTTTGATTCCTTATAGCTATCAATTTTTGTTATAGGAGTATTGAAATATAATTATGGATTTTTTAGTTTCCCCTTTTAATTCTGTCATAATTCATTTTATATATTTTTGGGCCTATGTAATTAGATGCATAAAAGATCTTGATTGTTCTTGGATTGTTTCTTATATAGTATACTTTTTGTACCTAATAATGTTTATTGCCATGAATTTTTATTTTATTACAATTTCTGTGACTATTCCACTTTCTTTTGGTTTTATTTGATCAATGTCCAAAGAAATACAAACAAACATTATTAACATATGTAAAGGTCCCAAATGTTTTAGAAATTACTGAGAATACAATTTCAATTGAGGATACTTCTGATATTTGATACCCAGTGACTGATCATAACTCTTGCTATCTTCTTCCAGTTATGATAAATACCAAAATAAGATAAACAAGATGACAGATTTCTGTTGTTCACAGGCAATATTTCATCAGATGAGAGAAATTCTTATCTACAAATATGTGTGATCTATATCTATGAGAAAAGGCATGAGATGGAAATAGTGAATAGGAAAAAAGTTCCCATTGTTCAGTCTGAGAAGCTAAGATAATCTCATGACCAGGCTTCCTATTAGGAAAATATTTTCTGTTGTTCCATGCCTGGAATGAACATTCCACAGGGCATAGCATACCCTCCCAAATGCTGTTTCAAAATGTTGGATCTCCACATTAAAGCAGAAATAAAATCCACTGTACTCTTGGTTGTTTTTTTTCTTTATTTTGTTTTGTTTTGAGCTCTCCCTTGTACCTAAAATTACAAGTTTTTCAGGAGTTTAAAGTCACATAGGAAATCAATGTACAATCTTATTCATCTACAGAAAAGAATCTCTTATCTGTACTGATTGAAATCCTATCACTATCAATCTTCAAGATAGTAGTTTGTGCTGTTTGTTTCATAGCAATGTGCTCTGACAAAGCAGTGATAAGAAAAGATTTATCAAAATAAGTTTACCTTCAGTCAGATTTTGCACACTAGTCCCCTGGGTGTGAACAGATACATGTAGTTGTCCACATTAATTAAATCCAATTTCTGACCACTTAACTGGCAATCAGCTAAATGTTTCTGTACACTTGAAATAGCATCCAATGTTTAAAAGGTCTCATTCCATAGGAAATAGCTTCTAATTTTTTCCCTTGCAGTTATCCACTGAAACTGCTTTCAATGAAATGTTCCAACTGATAACACTTTTTTTATCCAGAATCCTATTCAGTTTTTTTCTTTCTACCAGATTGGTTAGAAATCCATGATGTTCTTTTTGAAAATACTGTTTTTAGACATGGACTTCAGGATAGAACAACAAACAATTACTGTCTTCCCACCTCCTTTTCACAAAGATGCTGACAGGAAACTACCTTTTCCAGAGAGATCTTCCTTGGTATCTATCTTGATCCTGTGGGTCTAGCTGTCCACAAAACTCTCCTTTTATGAGTTATTTATAAGTGCCTTTGTTCAGAAAACATGGTTTAGTATCTACAACACATTACATTTCTGTTTTTGCGTTTTTCAGTGAAAAACAGAAAAGGCTCATTTTAATCAGCCAGGGCTTCTCAAAGCTGAGCTGCAAAGAATACCAATTGCTCTATGTAGGCCTTTCTTTCTTTCCCAGATGTTTGAAATTTCCCTTGGGAGCCCATTTCCTTAAAGACTCACATCCTTCTTTAATTCTGGAAGATTCTCAGCTATTATAGCTTCAAATATTGTTTCTCTGCCATTTCTTCCATTCTCTTCTTCTGAAATCCCTTGAATATACCCCTAAATAAACCTCTAAAATATACCTACTAAGGTATATTTTAGAGGCTTGTGGTCAACTCTACATTTCTCTTAATTGCTCATTTATTTGCCTTATCTTTTCCTCTTAGCGCTGTGCATAGTAAAATCCTCAGCATCACCTTATTAACCCTAACCATTACCTTCTCTGACTGGGTCCATCCAGCCTAAAATTTATCATGTCTATTGAGTTTAGTAACTTCAGTTTACTGTCAAAAATATCTTTTCTCAGATCTATCTACTCTATCCATTTGTTTCTTAGTTTCTTACTATTTTAGTTAATGGTATTTGGTTATTTATGTCTTTGAGCATCCTAAATGGACTTAAAAAGCAATCTTTTTTGTGCTGTTCTATTATTTTACTTTAATCTAGACTTTTACTTTAATTCAGCCTTTGATGGCTAATTTTTTGGGGGGCTATCTTACTTCTATAAAAAAGTTTTGAATCCTGGTTTGGAGACATATTTTGCAATATGTCTCTGTGTGTGTGTGCATGCATGTGTGTGTGTGTGTTTTCCTTTATATTTTCCTCTCTTGCACTCTTCACTTCTTCCCTCGGTTCTTTACATTAGGTTCATGGCTGCATATAAACTCCAGTTCCCTGCAGCATCAAAATCATTCCTTTTCATGTTCCTGTTAAGTATG